GAAAACATCCACCCCTCTGCAAGCCTTGCATTTGTTACCTGATCCAGTTTTGCGCTCCTTTTTCTTCCTCCCAGCTCTAACAAGCATCCTTGCCCTTTTACAAGTTAAGGTCATTCAGAGGATCTATACAAGCCAGCAGAACACAAGCTGGACCGGAGATCTTGAAAGGCTCATGCTTACCCTCACCTTTAATAGGGAGGCACCACCCACAGAGACAACACGTTATCCCGGCATGCACCGCTCCCTCCTGATCCAAATGGTAAGTAGCGCAAATCAAAAGGACCACAGCAAGTTGGAACCTGTTGTCTCCGCGGGTGGTACCCTGCATCTGTATTAGAGATGAAGGCAGCTGTAATCTCTTTGGTTTTATGCAAATGGGATGCTGTGCTTCAGCTCCTGGCTAGCTGCCAGGAAAAAAACAAAACAAAACAAAAAACACCACCCTTGTCAATATGAAGTTTGTGTAGATCAGGAAACCCAATTATTGGAATTTGCATAAAAAGCTAAACATCAAAACACAGTTGGCATGTTTCTTCTCAGGATGTGGGAAGGCCACAAATACAAATCTTATCTCTTAACCTAGCCATAATTTAAGCTTTGCTTTCTATTGTGGCTCTGAATTACAACCTTGCTATTTTAATACAAATAAGACTATTCAAGGTTTTCAGGAATTCTATCGCACCACGGTTCTCATTTTCCATGCACTTTTTAAACTGTTAACAAAAAGGGTGAGCACTCGAACTACAGGAACAGTTAACTGGAGATTCAGCCTTGGCCTTACAGCTAACTGGAGATAGAAGTCAGTGTGGTGAAAACACACATTGCTTCCTAGCTCTCTGGACAGCCCTGCAAACTCCTGCACCAGCACAACCCAGGGCTGGAGCACGCCGTGGCACCGCAGTAGCTGCAGCTGGCATTGCCACTGATGGATTCCAAGTCCAGCTACACTTGCTGACGCTGCCGTCCTCAGGCACTCACTCTCCACATAGGCAGAAGTCACCATCACGCCTGGAAACTGCAGGAAGGACCAGGTGCCTGTGCCCTGGCCATGCTGACGGTCTGGCATCGGAGCACGAATCTGCAATTGCCAGCTGAGGCACCGTGCTTTGCACGGACACACGGGGACACGTTCCTTGCTGCTGACTTTGCTTCAGAAAGCAAGAACAGTCCAAAAAAAGGCTCTGCTCTAACCCTGCTGAGTAGATTCAAGAAGTTACACATCGGGTTTGATTTTAAAGTAGATAGAAAAAGTTAAAAATGGAGAATAACTTGCAAAAATGTCCCGGAAGGATTTCTGCTGCCACTCAAGTTGTGCAACATGCTCGACTGGAGAGACTTATTTCCATGCAAGCAGCTTGGTGTGAAATCCCACTGAAAGGTCTGTGGTTCCCTAATGCTGTCATGATGTCATGATTTAGGATTTTTAGAGCAATCAGCCCAGCACAGCTGGTATCATGGTTGCCATTATACCATGAAACACTGAGTGGTTTTAAATGAAAAAGGTTTCCCCATTTGAAATTCTTAGATTTCTTCCATCTTTTTCTGTGAACTCTTAAAACCAGACCAGTTCTGTAAGCAGAGTATAGCTGATATTTAAGCAGAGCAGGAAATAGTGCTGCTTTAACTGAAAATAAATCTGTCAACAAGGAGGCACAGGGAGAGCTCCACTTCAGACTTTTCAGGTTCTTATTAAAAAATATAAATTAAAGTAAACATTTTCACGTTACTTGCTACATCTGTTTGCTATTCCACTATAAATAAAAATATAGGGGCCTCCAATTCAGCATTGGTTCACTCAAAAAAAAAATCAAAAAGCCCTTTTCATTTAATACTGCATTATAATTGGTCTAGATTGTACTGTATTACCAGAAGAGGTCCACAAGAAATAAGCTATATGTTACCCAAAGTCAAGCTGGGGGATTAAAAAGACCTTTGGTAGTGTACTATCCTTCCCTTTCTAAAGGATGAAGGACAGCAAGGCTATGGAAGCACACCCCTATTGTAGGAACCTTGCTGGCTGTCACAAGCACATCCATCTCTGCACTCTTTGAAGAGAGAGTTGGGAAACAAAAAAAACCCACAAACTAAACCCTATCTCCAGAGGCCATGGCAGTTGAGGAGAGTTCAGTGCCACGCCAGCTTTAAAGGAAATCTTCCAAAGATTTAAACAACTCCCGTCACCCCACGTTCCTGCCAACCATCCTGCAGCACACTTTACCTGGGACAGCAGAATCCCAAAGTCCTTCAAGCAATAAAGAGACTGATACCCATTTTCTTAAACAAGGGCTTTATTAAATTCCCTGCCGGAGAACAAGAGGCTCCCAAGCGCATAGGAAAACCACTACATTCCTACAGTGTGCACCCAGTGCCGGTCTGTTGATGTGCAGTTCACGTGGCAGTCGCATTTCAAGAGTAGTTAGCAAACAGCAACTGCCGTTGGGAGTAAAAATCGCTGGTGAGTGATGAGCTCCTTTGAAAATCTTCTCTTAGCCTGTCTGCAGTGCTTGCCTACCAGGTGATAACTTCAGGTTCAGTGCTTAAGAGATGTGTAAGTTTTGACAGCTTTACCACATGCATAACTGTATATTAAGACTATACGCCATAAAGGCGGAGCCAGCCTTCTCAACAGCACATGCAGTATTAAGTTCTGTAGCTCCAAGAATGAAGCCAAGAATAAGGCCAAAAGGAAGGTGACAGACTGCTGACAGCTGAACATCTCAGGGCAAGTGACACAGGGACACCCTGCTCTGGAGCCAGGAACACAGTTCCTGCCACACAGAGAGAGGGGAAACACGTGCATGTGCCCAGGGCACAGAGATCACTTTGACGGATCTGAGCAGGTCTGTGCTCAAGAGGTTGCTGCCAACGTCTGCAAAGCAGTGCAGCAGCGAGGGCTTGCTATCTGCTTGCAACGCCCAGCCGCAGCAGCCTCTGGCAGCGTGGTGCCAGGGGCAGGCAAGGGACACCCGGCAGGTCTGTGCTCAAGAGGTTGCTGCCAACGTCTGCAAAGCAGTGCAGCAGCGAGGGCTCGCTATCTGCTTGCAACGCCCAGCAGCTGCAGCCTCTGGCAGCGTGGTGCCAGGGGCAGGCAAGGCACACCGGCTCTCTAAGCCTCCTCCCAGGCTCACATACACGCAGCGCACTCAGGGACTTCAGACCTCCCAGAGCACGGCACAGACTTTGCTCTTGCTTCACTCAGCAGGCCTTGGAAATCGCCTGCAGCCTGTGTCTAGAGATGTGGTTTTAATTCCTGTGCCCTGTAACCAGCAAAAGGCATATTCCCCTATCTCAATCTGAATTTCCAGACCAAACTATATGACAGCATGAAAAGTTAGGTGGTTTCGTGCCAGGAAGTTGTTTAAAGTTGTGACATTCCACCTGTGTGATATTTTCACTCCTTCTCCTCCAAGCTTTCCACTACAGAACAACATTTTTTGGTCTAGCACACAGGTTTTGGGACTGAGAAGCCAGAGGACGTGCCAGGGCCAAGAAGACAGTGTCCTTACATAATTTGCTTCTTCATTCATAAAAACACATCACGTCTCACGTCTTGAGCTGAGACCCTCATGTCCACTCCCTGCTCTCACCCGAAACCATCAGGTAAGAGCCTGAGCAAAGAGAATAGTCTCACCATGGGAAAGCCTCAGGTTGACAAGTCACCAAAGAGAGGAAGTCAGCACAGCACTTACTCCCTCCAAAATTTAATTCCAGCAAAACAAGGCAGGCAAACACAGGTCACCTAATCTTGGCAACCTCAAGTTTTCAGTGGCAAAGATGAAATCTTATGATCTGAGAACAAAGGCACCACGTAAAGGCCTGCACGCCCATGGTGGGGTCTCTTGTGGAAGTGAGGGAAGGAAGCCTTTAACTTCATTTCTTCCACTTGCCCTACCTTTCCCCTGCCCCAGCAACTAATGGCTGCGGTTTGTTGCTAGTAGATGTGTTGGTTAAATGCCCCAGGCAGATCTCAGTGACACTAGAGTCCTGCATAAACTCCAGTCTTAAGAGACTTGTCTTCTGAAAAACAGTTCTGTAACCACAAACATGAGAAAAAAAACAAGAGAAACTGCCTTGAGGACATGGGTAAGTTTAAAGAAACTGCCTGACTGCTGCTGTTGCAAGAGAAGCACCTGGGTGAAAAAAAATGGTGGCTGAATCTTAACCAAGACAAACAAAAGAGGGAAAGCTTGGATGAAGAAACCAGGGCCTTTGCTGCACCATTCACCAAGGACATTTACCCCACAAGTATGAAACAGCGCAAAGACAGTTTTCACTAAACAGCAACAGTAGAAACTTTCTGCCATTTCTGGCTGGTTAAAAGGCCACGTTCACAGCCCCAAGATGATGACAGCTTGGCTACTCCTACTCACTTTAACCAGTGTTAAGGAGCAAGGTCAGTAAAAGACAGACAAGAATAAGGTTAGACCATGCTGCGTGCCTGGTCTAATACAAGATGCCTGCTAAAGACCAACCATACCAGCAAGCTAAGACAATCATTTAATTATTGGAGAGAAGACAGTCAAACAATTATAATTTTATGCTTCTGTTACACAGATTGGCACTTTATACAGCAGCCACCGGGACGGCAGTCCGCTGACAGCAACACTGCTGTGCCAGCAATAGGAAAAATGCCCTTACAGCAGTTTCCCAGAGGAAGGCATTTAACATGCACAGGGATGGGTCAGGATTTAAGCATATGACCATAACAGACTACCAAGAGTGAAAAACACAACAAGACATTCAGTTAAAAAAAAAAAATCACTCAATTTTTAACACTAACAAGGAAGTACATTGCATTCAAAGCCTGCAGAGGGGAACATAGTAACTCTTCTACATCCAAGAACAGGCACACGTCACCCCTTGTGAGACCCCGGCTATGGTATTCTCAGCAGAAAAACAGCTGTTCAAATAATAAGAACAGCAGGACACGGTTTTACCTACGCCCCTGCAAATGCAATGCAAAACACAACACGCAGCAACAGAACTTAAATGACACTTACTCATGTACTCTGTTGTCTCCATACAAGTCACTTAACCCAAAGCTGACGTAGTGCCAGTGCTCAGGAACATTCAACGCTGGGTTTCCCAGGTTTCTGTACATGCTAACGTAGTCCAGAGGATCAGGTCCCCCCAACCTGCATTAAAACCAGAAAGATTCTTAGGTAAGTCAGCTTATTCAAGACACATATGAAGTCTCCACAGGTGCTACAAGGGGCTGTACAAAGACCTGCTTTAAAACATAGCTAGTGACAAAAATTAAACTAGCATGTTCAAGTTACCTCTAAAAAAAAAAATTTAGGAGAAAGGTTGGGTTAAGTCCAGAAAGCTTCAAGCACAGGAAGGCAAAGTGCATGTGTGCAACTACTACAATGTTTTTAACGTTAAAGCATAAAAACCTCTGGAAAATCATATTAAAGCTTCCACAGAACACAAAGAAAATTGGAAAACTGTACTAGTAAAAGAGCAATAGCTGTATATGCACTGCAAGCTCTTAATTCAGTCCAGAGGCACATACCTCAATTAAAAAAAACCCAAACTTGACACTATTCCTCAAAGCAGAATTTGAAATGGCTAACTTTTGAGGAGAGTAATCCATACTTCTGAACATAAACATGACAGTTAAAATAGTGGAGGAGAAAAACATTGATTCAGAAAAATTAGTACCAGAACTTTAAAAACACACTAGGTGCATTAATCAAGAACAAGTAAAAAGCATCATTGCAGCCTCTGCTTCAACATTAGAACAGGTTCCTTAAAATAACATTACTTAAAAGTCAATGCAGCACAGCCAGACTACATTAAGCAGCAATCACCAAAACCTGCAGCCCCACTTCCCATTACAAGGCACAAGGAAACGAGGCTGATGTGCCAGCAGAGCAAGCACAGCACTCTCCTCCTGCCGCTCGCCGTCACGTCTGCCCGCACAGAGGCAGGTCAGCTCCCCACCGAAGGAATGAACGTGCTAGACTGTTTTGCTCACTGTTCACCCTGTCAATCATAAAACACACAGGTAGAAGCAAGCAAAAGAGACAAGACATCAAACCACTTACCACAAGCATTTACAGAATAGTGTGAACAGCTGTTTAACTGTTTCCTGCCTCCAATTAACTTTTTCTTCAAGTAAAATTCTCTCAACTGCTCCAAACAAGAAAATCCAAACTAAGATGACTCTCTTCATTCAAACCACTTATTACACACCAATTCCCCTCATCTGCATTGTCTGTTCAGACCCTGACTCTATCGTCTGCAGGGCATACCTGTGCTTCCATCACTAGCCCTGGGTGTTTGTGTATCATCATTATGCACACCACAACTGCTGCACAAAAAGCATTTGAGCACCTCAGTTTTGTTCCCTGATTGAAGTACCACTGCCTTATGTCAAACACTGGCAGGCTTGGCAAGAATACTTTCTCAGCATCTAGAGCAGAGCCGCTCATCAGTCTCTTGTAGCACCCTCCACCACCACTGCTCCGTGCCTCCTGGAAGTGTTTGTGCTTCACATGTGGAGATCCGTACCTTGCTTTACCAAGGAAGCTCTGGGATGATCAAACAGCAAAGCTTAATTGCAATTATCCCACTTAAGGCAAGCACCCTTCTCAGAGTCCCATCTAGCAGCACAGAGGAAACACTGGTGAGCATTTCAATCCTCAGGCATGAGAGGGTAACCAGGCTGCTGGTAGTAAAGCCGGAGTTAGACCCATCGACTTCAGAAAACAGGCAATCAGTGCAGAAGATATTTAACCCTGAGCTTGCAGGGTTACAATTACCCCTAGATCACATTCGCCGAGTACAGCAATTTCTTTAAGTTCATTTAGGAGAGACCCTCGAGAAAACAGGGTTTTTCAGAGTTGGGGCAGTTGGCATTGCAGAACAGAGGTGCTAAAAAATCACTTTGCAGTTCTGGATCAGCCTTGCCATAGAGCTGCAGCACCTGGTCATCTCCACAAGAGATTCTCCAGAGGAGTAGTCACCATGACTGGACAGATGGATCCAACCCTTGCTGGCAGCTCATCGGTCTGGCACCCAGTTGAGCTGACATGCAAAGCACCAGTAAGATGGTGTGTTGCAGGGTGAGCTCTGAGGAGGCTTAATGCACACAGGGACTCCCTGAGTTTATCACCTGTAGGAAAGATTGTGCCAGGAAGGGCCATGAGAGCAGGCTTCCTGTTGTTTCCAGAAGGCACCTACATACTCCACGCAGATTTCTAGTGACAGTGATACACTATTTGAAATCCTCTGCCCAACCTTATCAAGTCTGTATTAAGTAATATATCAGCTTGTTGTATTAAAAGGCCTGTGGGCTCTGCTCTCTCCACAAGTGTGCTGTGCTGCCTCCCCCCTATGGCTGCAGGAAAAAAAAAAAAGCAGAGCAGGGTTATCTAACATGAGTGACTTTCCCTAGGACAGCTTCCCTCCTCTTAAGTCACATAAGGCCATCATGGTGGCTCCAAGCCAGCCCAGCTTCCCAGTGGGTCAGTCAAGGATGCAGCCCAGGATACCAGGGCAGGGCGGAGGGGGTGAGCATCCCACCCCCAGTAACGGCACTGAGTCCATTGGCAAGGGTCAAGTCAGAATTATGCAGCCTTCTCATATGACAAGCTGCGTCTTTATGGCGTAAAAGGCAAACTGGTGAGGAAGCATGGGGAAGGCACGTTAGACCCTGGGATGGAGCAGAGTTTGATCCTCAGTGGCAGCCTGGGAAAACCCAAAGTCTAGCAATAGCTTGAAACACTCAGAAAAAAACGAGTCCCCCTCTGACATACCCCATCTCCACCTGTTCCCTCTCACCGGCACCAGGTCACACTGGAGGCTGTCCGAGATCTCTGCCGTAGATACCCATTCAGGTATGGGTAGCTGAGGGCTGGCCCTGGCCAGCACGCAGGTTCCCCACAGCAGTAACTCCCAGATCCGTGATGGAAGCAGCCAGGCGGAAGCAATTCCAGCCAGGATAGTCACTCACCCCGAGGAGTGGCAGTGAACAGCAGCAGCCACACACAACTGTTATCTGACTGGGAAGACTCCAGAGCGAGGGAGGTCAATACGCTGACCAGCAAACCAGTGTGAGCAATTAGCAAGTGGTCAGAGCAGGTGCGCAGGATTTGCAATGAAGGGAAAACACCTCCACCTGCTCAACAACAAGCATCTCCCACACACACAAAAGCTGCTTCCAAACTTTTGACACCTTAGATGTCAAACGATTCGCGCTAGAACACTGCAGAACACAGGCACTTTGACACTGACAACACACAAGCCAAACCCTTAGACTGCCCTCTTTCAGGACAGGGACTGCTCCGCCTGCACGCTCCTCCCCAGGGCTACTCAAACGCATCCGTCAGGTCTGATGCAGACAGCGAGCAAGTCCTGCCTAGACTGCACCAGGCAAGCCAGACACCTCTCCCTCACTCCTGCTGGCAACCTCGCGCTTCTTTCCAAAGGCCAAGCCTCTCTGGGGACCTGCAGCACAGTGCTACCCGGGAGGCGGCTGCGGCAGCATGGCACCAGCCGGCTCGGGGGAGCCGAGCTCTGCCTTGCACAGAGCAGACCCGGCCAGAGTTAGCTACCCACCGGTTTACACACTGCACAACAATCCAGACAGACCGTCTTTACTCCCTGAGAAATTTGGTAGACTTGGAAGAGAGTCAGACAAAAAGCCTGCAGCAGTGACTAATTAAATTTTGAAAAATACACATCCAGGCCATATACCTATCCCCAAACCGCTGCAACTGCAGGAGCATCCAGCACTAGCCTTAAACCAGCTATCTGGAGCACAGCTAGTAACGTACCCATGGCAATAATGCCCAGCCAAAGGCTAGTCAGCACAGATATTTATCCAGTTTCGGTAGCAGGTTTCACTGCTATGCTAACTAGTCGACTGCCGCTAATGCCTGCTGTGGTACATCCTCCCGCCCACAGCCGCTGTTGCAGGGTTCGACCTTGTATCACAATCTACATATCAGTACATGCGTTCACACAAAGAGCTGGAAGCGTTGGAGGATTTTATTAGGAAGAGCCCAACTTCAAAGCCAGAGGTACAGTACAAATTTGTTACATTCTCTATTCATGGAGCTCATTCAGGAGCAAGAAGGGCAGCCTCGGGGGAAACCCGGTATTTGCATCTGCACCAAAAGTCTTCTTTTGACTGATGTTAAGAGCGCTCTGAAGTTTCTGTGGAAGGAGAAACCCAAAGTGGGCAGAGAGGAAAGAGCTCCACAATGGGAAAAAATTGGAAAATTCCCAATCCATTCACCCTGAAAAGTCCTTAGTGGATTGTTTGTAGTCGCTTCCCAGCAGCTGACAACAGGCCTGCTTTTCACAGCTACCTTTTGACAACCCTCCAGAATTAGTTTGTGATCCCCAAGCGGCTGCAGACCAGTGCACTGGTTTTTGAGTACATGGCCTAAGTTCAAGACAGGTGATGAAAAACCAACAGTCCAGCCCAGATTCTGCCTATTTCAAAACCTACCACAAAGCAAGGAAAGTACAATTTTATGCATCAAGGTATTTCACTTAGAGATATTCAATCATGTTTTAAAAATAAAAGCAGATACTGGATATCAACAGAGAGAAACTCCTTCTCAGCACATGCCCTTTATAAATAGAGCCAGGAAGTTTTCCAAGAAGTTCCAATTGCAATCACGAACTCTCTCCCAAGATATGCAAATAGCTTTTAAAAAAAACACTAGTTCCATGAAATAATCCACGCAGCTAAACCCCTTCATTTAATAGGTATGCGATTCTGCAGATTCTCCAACATTAAGCAGCAAGGATCTGCTCTGCCGTGCAAGCCAAAGAATACAACTTCAGCTCCCTCAAAAAAAAAAAAAAAATTGCTGTTAACTATAGAGAAACTGATACGTATAATTAAAAGCTGATTAGTGTTACAGTATTTCTCCTAAGGCAGGGAACTTTGTTCAGCGATTTCCTCTTCTAATCTAAACCAACTAATAGCTGACAGCCCAGGCAGAGGACGACAGACTAGCGGAGAGCAAGCGGTGGCAGAAGTCATTCTACCAGACTTAACAAAACCAAGCTCCAAGTTTCATCTAACAAAGGGAGAGAAAGTACCTGTAGCGTCCACGTAGACTCCACCTCGCGCAAGAATTTCCTGCACAGGACA